GTATATTTTTGTTTTCTTTAGGGCTGAGACAGGCATGGTCTTGTATTGACTTAGGAGTGATCACCCCTTTGTGATTCTTTTTGTTTAGACTGTCAACTCATGCCTTTAATCTTGTTTAATCATTTTACTACCAGATAGAAAATTAGGAGGCAGTAGGTTGGTTTTTATAAATACTTAATTTGGCAAAAGTTTGAGGACCATGAGGATTAGGTTATGTAGTACAGTGATGGACAGATAACATTGATTGGGGATAATTTACTGTTATTGCCCAAGAACAATGTCTGTTGTTTGGTTCTTAAAAGGATTCACAAACTAAACCATTTAAACAACTACTTAATGTGTTCTAGGGTTCGTACCTCCCGATTGAGTGTCAAGAACTGACAATATAATAGCTCTAGTTAATTTCTTAGTCTTTATCTCTTTTTAAAATTCAGGGACAGCAGATATAAGCAGAGGTTATTTACAATCGGTGGTCATAAAAAAACAATTTCAAGAACTATAACTCTTGTAAATATATTTGCTTTTTGTGAAGAATATAAGCCTTGAAAGATGTACAGTTTGTAAAAGTTTATAAGCATTTTATTCATGCACATTATAGAAATGCGGTTTTATACTATGTACATTCAATGAAAATTAATCTTTTACCGCATAAACTTGAGACTTTCTATATGAACATTACCAGCAGATTAATAATTTAGTTTCAGGCAATTTTTCTAAGTATAATTAAGTAATCTTTGTAGGTGAATTTTCAAAGGAAATATTCATTAATTCTCTAATGTGTGAATATTTTCCTACACAGCTCCTGAAAGAATAAAGATTTAGATTCTGACAATCTCTTTTTCAATGGTTCAGGGCTTGGTTTTGTCATTGTGTTAAATGAAGGGTAACTGTGTTGTTTCTGGTCTGGAGTATGTTATACAACAACTCTTATGATATTTGTTTTGTCAAGATAATATTATGGCACAATTTGGGAGAGAAATTTAAACGGCAAAAACGCGGGTCTGTATATCTGTCTGGATATGTTAACTGGCAGCAGGATTTTGGAATTTGGACCCCCCTTTATCAATTCGAAATTTCTCTCAACCATATACATGTCAAAGAGAACATTTTAAGTTCTTTACCAATCTAATGAATTGCCCACATTCTAGATTTAAGCAAACAAGATTTTGGCTTGAGTTGTATTGAGCATTAGGTAAGTGAATTATTTGAATTTCTTCTCTGCAGTTAAATTTAGAAATGATAACACATTTTAAATGTGTATGTATTTACCCAACAAATAAATGATAATTCGTTTTGAATTTGATTTGTTTAAATGAATTTCTATATCACTGCATCCCATGGTGTAATTTTTTTCATGAAGATTTTGACATTCACATTTATTGATGTAAATTTTATTGGCGACAGAACAAGTTTTATATATAATGATATTTCCAAAGGATTTTTCTGCAAAGTTCTAATGTTGAATTTAAATGGATGGATTTTTTTTTCCTTTTAGAAAGGGATAAAAGATTGTTTGTTTAGCAAACACTATCCAGATACCGGAAATTGTTGAATTTGAGTTTCTCAGTCATTTGAATTTTTTTTAGACCTTTTCTTTGCAATCTGAAATATATGGCTTTCACAAACAGGTGTGAATTGTGAGTTAAGATCTACACTTGGACTGTAAAGTCTGTACCTGACATGCGAATTTTCTGCTTTTGATCAAGTTTCACTTAAAACCCGATTTTTTAACGAGATAACACAAGACTGGCTCTTGTGTGGACTTCTTTAAGCTGTTAGCTTTGTCGTGAATTTGTACAACATTAGACATGCCAGGAGGTAAGGACGCTAGCTTTGTTTTATTACATTTCAGACTAAATATTTTTTTATTTGAAATGGATTGTAAAAAAAAAAAAAATTGATGCCCTTTTTAAAGCTATTCAGTTGCAATTTCCATTCTTAAGAGTAGCCTAGTACATATATTTATCTTGTCCAACATACACTGACTGACTGAGTATTCATTTGTGTGGAAGGAATGCAGAGTTGCAGACATTAATTTTTATTTCAATATTACATTTATGTCTATAAATTTTAGGAGATGTGAGATAAAAAAATTCTAATTGTATAACAAAATTTCAGTACAGAGGTTGAGCCTCTATAGATTCTTTATGTTAGAGAATTTTTGCAAGTCACCCTCACACGGTGAGGAACAATTCTATCTGTTTAGCTGTGTGTGGGATTGTGTCTGTGGTCCTGCATTCCCCTGGTAAATCCCCGCCCCATGTTGACACGATCAGTGACTTCTGGTTCCATCACTATCATATCTTACACAAACCTTAGCCAGATAATTACTGTAGGCTTTGTTACTGTAGCACAATATCCTCTTTGATGACATTTAAAGTCGCTTTTTATGGGCAAAACAAAGTGCTGAAACCCAGCCTTAGAGGGAGGTTTCACATGTTCCTGGTGGTATTTGTCATTACTTCCTGTGCTAAATATTCTTTTTTGGTGGAACTGCATCATCCAATTCCACTGAAATCTGAAAATTCTTTAGCTATATCCCTCTCTCTGTCTTAAATAAGAATAATGTTTGAAAATTGTGTTGAATGAAAACTTACAGTATATTGTGATATTTCTCACTTATTTGTTGGATTAGGGAAAATTTTCTACCTTTAAAAGATTTCTTGAAAATCATGAAGTTATATAAAATAAACGTAAAAACAATTTAAAGGAATTCACATCTAAATGGACCTTAATTGATGTACATGCACAGATACTTATTCCACTGATAGGTCAATTGCAATGTTTGTTTTTTTTTTGTAAATGAAAGTTAGTTGTGAAATGTTACTTCTTGATTGAGTAATTTGTCACCCCTACATTTATTGGTCAGCTGTTTTTAGGTTTTATATTTTTTCATTGTATCAAAGTGTTTCCTTGTGTTTACTAGTGAAGTAAATTAAAAACAATGTTAAGTAGCATTGAACACATACGTAGGAGTTGTCATTACGCTAATGTCGTGTTTGAACATTACAGCAGGACACGTACACTTCAAAGACCATGACATGAGATGGAATGGTTAATTAATATAATTTTCTCAAGAAAACCATGCATGAAAAAACTTAAATTGTTCTTTGCAGATTAAAAGTTTTTTGCCTATTTATTTATTTCTTGTATTTGAACAAATAATATACATTACAAATAATATACAGTCAACCCTCATTATCACAAACTTGATTGGACAGAAAAAAAAAATCATATTTCTTAAGATTCAAGTTATTAAGGGTAAAATATTTAAGATAATTGGTATGGACTCCCAAATAACTTTGACATATTTATGGTAATCGAGATATCAGTATTTGAGATACCAAAGTTCAACTGTATGGGCAATGCCTGCCCAATCAATTTATTTTTTATCAATACTTTTTCCAGAATTTGGAACTTGCAGTAACTGTTACATGGTTTTATTTTTCCTTATATTGAAGTATAGAAAAACAAAATACTTCAATTTTTTCTATAATATTTTTTTTTATTTAATATGTAAGTATTAATTTTAAAAGGGAAAAATTATTTGGTTAATGGGCTATTTTGGTCTTCTTCCATCTTAGTAGTGCAGACCTTTTGAAATTTTGAAGAAATGAAAACTGAATGTTGGCTATTAAAATTACATTTAGCTGTAAGAATTAAATGTTTAATATGAGTCACTGTGGGAATACTTTGTGTACAAAGCAGGATATTAACCCAGGAGGTAGAAATACAGATATAAGGCTTTTGTAATTTTTTAGATAATATTTTCCAAATTAAATGGCAAATTTGTTCATCCTTAACTGTACATGAATCATTAATACTGATTTTCTAAATATAAAAATAGAATGCAACTTATTCAGGATTAAAATTCAGTGATTGAAACAATTCCATTTCTGGGATGAATGCCCTAGCTACTCCTTACATACATTTATTTGTTAGAAAAGTATTCACAATCAGTACACTAGCTTTGAAACCTGGGATAGATCAAAGAAAAGGCTGGGATATAAAGTTGTCTCCCTTGTCATATAGCACAGATCTAATGGAATTACAAGTGTGTATCTGAAACAGCTGATTGACATGTCTTTCACTTAGCAATGCATGTTAGGACCCTTGTAGACGATAGATGTACTAGAACCATGCAATAGTTGTCAGGGTAAGAAATAGAGCTGTAAACCTGACAGTGATTTGGGGGGCTGTGATTGAATCCCAGGTGTGCAGTAAGTCAATATACCTGACAGTTCCTAATTATTTCACCTGTCAATCACAACAGGTAATGCGACCCAAATGACCAATTTATGTCCACAGGTTACATGGTGGCAATTCATTGAAGGCCACTTGTCTTTAATTCATTGACGCATTTAGCTGAGGAGGAAATCAATTTATAATCCCTGAAAAAAGGCCATTATCAAGCTTTGGACTCTTTTTTTGTGGCTGATGTTATTTGTCCGATCAATTGTGTAATCATGGTGAGAACATTATTTTTTTCTATTTGAAGAAAAAATTGGATTTGGTCTTTTCCAGCATGGAAATTTAAGCACTGTGATATTTTAGTTCTTCTATTTCTGAGTGAGTGAGTTATTTGGTCTAAATGGAGGTAATTGAGGAAAAAGCGCATTTACAGGCATTGTACCTTAATGGGTGATAAATCAAGAGTATTTGATTTCGGAACTTTGGAGTAAAGGGTACCACGAGGATATATGTATGAACTATGGCCTAACGGAGCAAATTTTCTGGTCTCGTAGTTTCTGATTAAGTCCTAGAAGTGTCATTAATCTTTTCCTATTTTGCATGTGTCTCCTTCACACATTCCTTACCTAATTACTACGGAAACATGGATGTGTGAATACTAAAAGGTGACAAAAAAATTATCATACCACTGGGGAGGAATTTTTTCATGCATTCAAATTTCATGTAGGAGTTTGTAATAAAAGTTTGTATTGTTATTGAAATTTCTGAACATGAACTTCAAATTTATTTTAAAATTTTATGTTTTGTAGAATTGGAGGAAAATCCTGAGTACCTCAAAATGATATCAGACGCTGGAAATACTGTCCAAAAGCGATCCTCATCAGGATCTGACAAAAGTCGCAAGGGGTCATCATCAAGGTCACCGCAAGGGTCATACAGCAACCAGCAAGAGGATGAGGAATTCCTGAACAAAGTGTGTAAATTTGAGATGATCTCGCGCGGCAAGGGCTCCCCCACTGTGAAATCTCCTGTGAACAAAAGTTTCTCTCCAGATGGATCGTACAGGTCTTATGGACAAGTGATCTCGGAACATAACCATGTAGGTCACGTCATGGAACCTGTGTCTCCTGTGGAAATGAATAGAGGGCATGTGTCCTCACCCCTAGAAGGGAAACAGTTTGTGCCAAAGTCAGGTTATCCGTATGCAGGAGAAAAACTATTCACCAAAGAAACTGCTACCACTCGTGTGTCTGCAGACATTCTCATGAAAGCTGGAACTGTGCAAACAATGCAGACAACAGAGAGAGTGACCAGCACGGGGAGTTCTAGCTCCAGTTCACTGACTAGTGTAAGTAGTGCAGGGGGAGGCACACTCAGCTGGAACTCCGACTCCGGCAAATCCTCACCTAGAACCAGCTTTGTGACTCTCTCTTCCCAGAATTCCACTGAACAAAAGAAACCCATCATAACTGTACTGTCCCCCAAAGTGTTCAACTCCAAAGTCTCTTTAGAGACTGATGCCGAGAAACTTGCAGAGAGCATAATGAATGGAGATCTGCTGGCTACAGCTTATGATAGTGCTGGAAGCAGTAACTCCTCGAGTAAGAGAAATACGTTCGAAGGAATGGACTTTGATTTTAATGAACTGACTGCTAGCCAACAGGATTTGTCTATAAAACATCGTGAAATGGTGGCAGAACGTAAGAAAGAGCAACAAGCAGAAAGGCAAGAAAAACAGCGACTTGAGGAAATTCTCAGTATGTGTGCGGAATATGACAAACAGATTTCAGAGGTTCATCTGAAAGTGAAGACAACAGTGAAACAACAAACAACAATTACAGCAGACACAAAAATTACTCCAAACATGCAACAATTCCTGGACAATAATATTCCAAAGTTTTCTGGTTCTCCACACCATAAGGAGGCCCCTCCTGTTCATCCAAAACCCAAATCTCCAAAGACTCCAAAAGCTGGGGATTCCTATGTTTTTGATGGTTTTTCAGTGGAAAAGATGGAACAGTATGATCAACATCAGAGGTTACATTCTGATTCTGGGAAGTGTGAGAGTCCACTGATTTCATACCAGGATGTCACACCATCCAAAACACCGACAGGAAATAAAATTGTCAGTCCTATCATAAAAACAGATGGACATCATTCAAGGTCTGTGAAGGGACAGATTACCAGTACACCAAAAAGTGTCAACTTCAAAGATGAAAGTCCCCGAGAATCAAAGGGAAGTCCTAGACAGTCCACAGAAAGTCCAAGGTACCCTCGAGAGAGAAAAGACTCGGATTACGATAGTGCTGATATGATTATAGAACCTCCCAAATTAGTGAATGGAGATGTGCCTTCACTTCATGGAAAGAATACACAAAGTGTGAAAAAACCTTTGGAACAAACTTTAGAAGTTTCTGTCAAACCTGCTGTTCAAACTGAAAGTGAAAGTAAAGGTGGAAAAACAGGTGTCAATTTAGCATTCAAATTAAAAGACGATGAATTTAACAGTGAGAGTTTGGCATCACCTACACATCGACCAAATCATTTACCCAGTTTCCAGGATTTTAGTATTGAAGTTCATTCATTAGATAGAAAAGAAAAGTCTGAATTTAGAAGTTCCATGACTAAAATAAAAACCAATGGATCATTAACCATGATTTCATCTCCCAGCAACACACACAAAGAATTCGGCTTCCAGATGCAAAGAGCAAGTTCCAACTCTTCTAATTCCGAGGAAGAATCTGCGAGCAATTCAGAGGACACGGGTACAATCAAACGCCGTCCAGGACAATTACAGGAGTTTCAAGTTCGCAGAACTGGCCCTGGGTCATCTGAGGTCAAGGACAAAGATAACTTGAGCCCAGATGATCCTCCCACCCCAAGTTTCCGTCCTGCGATGGGGAGCAGGAGTCCCAAACTCACACGTAAGCTGATGCTTGTTGAGGATTCTGGGGAGAAGGGGAACGAAAACACAAATTCATATCAGGTCCGAAGAGAGGAAGGAAATGTCAAGGTGGTTAATATAGACATTGAGAGTAAAAGTCCTACTGCTGTGTCAAAGAGTAAAGAAGACCAAGACTCTGTACATGTCAGCTGGCTTGAATCGCAAAGGAGAAAAGTTGAAAATGGATTTTACAATACCAAAGACTCTAATAAAAGTGAAACATTTTCTTTACCTCAGAATGGTGTGTCAGGAAAGTCTTCAGATTCCAGCAGTGATACTAGTTCCAATGTGCTGGATCAGAAAAAAGGAATTTATGAAAACATACCAGCTAGGTCACCAAAGCCTTTCCCAAATTTTAAAGTGGAATTAAAACATGGAATGAAACTGCAGTCTTTCTTTGATGGTGATAGTTCAGTTGTGAATGGATTACCAAGGTCAAGGAATTCCTCTGGTTCTGGAGGGGGGAGAAAGTCAGATGATTTGGAGAGTCTGGTGTCCAACAGCAGTGAGGGAGAGGTCAAAGGGTCAGTCAGGGGTCACCGAAGGTCAGGAGATTCATCTAGTCGGAGGAGCTCCGGACACAACAGGGTAAGTTGATAAAACAAGGGGAATAACTCTAATTCGGAATTAAAATAAGGTATGGCATGAATTAAAGTATAAAATAGTGGAAAATTGTAGAAAGAGATGACAAATAGTTGCATTTTATCTATGTGTCAGACCTAGTTCTTTGAAAATAAACACTGTCTCTGGAGATGTGTAAGATATAGGAGACAGAACAACACACCTGTAAAAGATTGATGACCTTGCACTGCAAAGTTTTTTTTTCTGTGTCACAAACTAAAATGATAAGTCCGTTTAAATACCTACTGTGGAATGTCATTCTTCTTTCTTGGAATAATAAGTAGGTTGTTTGTCAGTTTTCTGACCTGGGGTCTCTTCATTATCATAACATGTACAGGAAAAAACTTCTCAACTTTTGTCACTTTCTGAAAGAATTATTAAGCCATTAGTTTTTACCAACTAAAAAAAGGAAGAGGATGTTACAGTCATTGTGGATCTTGGTGGTTTTATAAGTGCCTAGAATTTTTGGAAAGCTACCATAAAGACAACAATAGATGACTGTGAAAACATGCGACGTTTATTTACTCTAAGATGGAAGGGCTGATAGCTGGTTTTTAGCCTTCTATGGGGAACATTTAAACTACAAAGGCGTTTTGAAGGATCCTCTATCATTTTGAGATTTTTTTAAATATCCGTTTAAAATTCTGATGAACTGATAGCTGTAAGGATTGGGACTATGGCTAGGAGGTGATCATTTGTTATGTAACAAGCCTATGTTTGTGTTCATGGATATATCCAACATGCAGGTATATAACTCAGATATTTGCTTTCAATTATGGAATAATAAGGTCATATGCTGGAAAAAAATCATTAAATCAGTTCGTTGAAATACAATATTTTGAGGAAATAAATTCCTCCAGTTACAATTACTTTTTTTTGGTAAATGAGATATGTTTTTTTAGGGAAAAATATATTTCCTTGTAGATTCATTACCCATTGAAGTTTTATTCATAAATTTCATATTTTTTGTCACAAAATGAGAATTTAAGTGTCCATTATCCTACTGGGTTATCAACTTCTAATGGTAATATTTCCTGCGTTATCAAATCTTATTTTAATTACAGTCCTAAGTCACATGAAGAAATTAAGAACCTGGATATATTATATACAGTAGTTCTGTTGACAAACATATTGAGACTTGTAATTCCCTCACAGTTTGGTGACCGATTTAGACTTGTTAGACTAGACTATATTTGGAGTTTATCAGTATAGACAATCTAAGTCAGTGATTATAGGTATTTATCCGAGGGTCCACCCAGTCTCAGGTAGCAGACAGATTCAGGTAAGAGATTTATAGATCTCAGCTGATTATTGCTGACTGACCCCAGGTGTCATGTACAGGTATACAGGTATACACTTCCACCATTTTCATTTATCTTCTTTTTTGCATTTCATTTTCTTTCTTTGTGACTGAAAGGCAATTATAATGTCTTACAAATGTGCACCATTTTTCAGTTTCTTTGTTCATACCGTGCAAAAGTGTGGGTGGAAATGAAACCAATGACAAATAAGTTGTAGATTATCTAAGGTCTGATAGATTCTTTTCTTTTTGAATTTCTTTGGAAGATTCACTCAATGCCGGTAATCTGAACTGAAGTCAGCTTTAAAAATACACCTGTAAGAATTTACAGGTGTGCCATAGGGAGACACTACCAAGTTATCAGTATTATTCAGGTAAAAAAAATTACCTTTGTAAATTCCATCAGTTATGGAATGACAATTATAAGATGGGAAGAGGGGTTATCTTGACACGCTGTGTATGTTAGGACAGGTAAACAGGTAAGGTGATAAAGAGTCAAGGTGAGTGGTGATAATTATAGATCAGGGACAGAATCGGGGGTGAAACCTGTATAATTCTCACTGATTCGGAAGTCAACACTGCAGATAAAGACATCAATTTTACATGGTTGTCAAGAAGTGGACTGTTTTATAAACATTATGCTCTATTCCTTCTTTTATAACATTCCTCTTTTCTCAGAGAAAGGTTAATGTTATTTTCTGGAGTATCTAAGGTTTATCTCATATGTTTTCGATACATTTCATGTAAATATTATGCTGGAAACGTAGTACCCAGTATATATCCAAAATGAAAGTCTTCAGTGTTGGGAGAGGGAGTGGGGTGTAGGTGGGGGGGGGGGAGAATGGGCTGAACATTTTGGTGATACTTTATCAAAGATATGATTTTTTTGGACAGGTGAAAACATACAGTATGATAAGTCTAATCTTCAAGTTCTCCCTAGTATAATATGATTTCAAGAGAAAGCCATTGTAATGGTATAGAGATGGCAGAGTTTTTCCTTATACATATTCTGTCTTTTCTTCAGGATTCGGAGTCATACCAGCAGCTGGATCGTATGAAGAAGAACAAAGTGGAACTGGTATCTAAAATCACCTTCCTCAAGCAACAGATAGAAGAAATCGAAAAACTGGAGAATGAAGCCATCCGAGAGGTAGGAGATAGGGTATAGGGTCACATTCCAGTACATATAAGTGTATCAGTATAAACTACAGTATACTGTACATGACACATATCTTGCCTCCTTTGTAACACTAAGACGAGTCTAAAGAAATTGTACACACACACAATTTATCAAAACATAATGTAGTATGTATCAATCCAAATCCCAATACAGTCAAACCTCAATATCCCAGTCTTGAATATTTACTCCATTAAAATCAGGATAATGAGGATTGATTGTACCTATTGTTGGAATTTTGTATCTTGTGTATGATCACAGGATACCTTATCCTTCTAGCCCAGCTAGTATATAATGGCTGTAAGGTATCTATTGTAAAATTCCTGTTTTATGTCAAAATTTCAATTGCCTTTATGGTGATTGTCATTTTATAACAAGTGATGTACAAACCAAGTTGTTCAAAATGTGTCCACCTAAGGATGTACTGTCCAAGGGAAGTGTATCTGACCTTAGTATAGGTTGCTTCAGTGACACTTGTTAAGGACAACATTAAGATAGAAGATGATTAATATAGTAACTAACAATAGGATGTGAATTGAAATTCAAACATTTCGGTAATTAATTAAGCATGTTTATTTATAAACAGCTGGAGATGGAGAAAGCTCTGTTGGATGGAGAGAAGGAGACAGAGATGGAGGAACTGCAGAGAGACCAGGAGCGGATCAATGTTCTGAAGGAGCGGCACCGAGAAGTGGTGGAGAGGGCAGCAAGGGAGAGGCAAAAGGTAGAGAAATTCCAGAGGGGGCCCTGTTAGAGGGACTAAATGGAGGGCCATAATTAAAGATTGCTTTTAGAGGACATTAATATCACACAGACTAAATTATAACTATCTATACCTTAGATAAACCTTACTTTTTGCACTAGATCTGAGGTTTATAATTACCTTTAATGATAATATTAATTTCAATCATTAATGATGATATATTACTAAAGAAGTTCTTTTCCTTATGAATATGGTAACTGAAAAACATGGTTAACAAATGTGAATTTGATATTCAGCAGCGAATTAGAACTTCCAGCAGATTACGTAAAGTAAGATTTTGCTGTCGTTGAGTGGAATTTTTCTAGATTCTATTGCAATCACAGCTTAAATGAGGAAAAAATCCTGCCCGCTCAAAGAAGGACAAAAATAAAATTGCAAAATTTTGCTTTGCCTAGATTTTATCTTCAGTTTTGCCACTGTATATCTGGATTTCGATCATTATGATGTTTTTCTTCATCTTATTCATTTTTATTAATTTTTATGAATTTATTTGCTTCCATTGGCAACCTTTAGTAAACTTTGCTTCCTATCTTTCTAATCCTTTCTAGGCCAGGTTTTGGGTGCGTATATAAAGAGTCTAAGCATTGTCTCAGAATTAGCATTAAAACAGTAAAGATCTTATCACGCCCACCTCCAAGGGCTCGTACTGTTATGTCACAGTATGTGATTTGTAATCTGAATGCTCATTGGCTGATATGAGATGTCATTGACATGTCTGAAGAGTTTAATATGAAAGCATGCTGAAGTGGCAATATCCTGATATAAGAGTGATACCCTTATATTAATGTGTATATATTCAGAAATTCATGGAATATGGAAATGTATCTTAAGAAAAACTAACTGTTAACAGTCTTTGTCTATATAGTAAATTTGATACATAATATATAATCTATAGTTTACAATAGTTTTTCCCCTTTTTCTGTGATTTAATTTTACGTATTACTTCCACACCTGTATATATATATTTAAAAGTGACTCAGTTGGGAGTTCACTCAGTGTGTAGAAAATGTACAGTTTAATAGAAAGGAATGCTGCATGTCCCTTGTAATGAACAGCTAACAAAGTATTGACGTCATGCTGTTATAATTACATAGTTGTGATGTAGAAAAAATCCTATTTGAAATTTTGAAAACTTTTCCAATACCTGTAATTTGTACACCAATCAATAGACTATCATTCCTTTTGTAGCATGTTATCATACATTTTCCTTGTTCTGACATTACACTCTTAGTTTATGAAATAACGAAAAGCCTTCTACAGGGTTAAAGGAACTAGAACTGTAAAATGATGAGTATGATTTAGGCATGTACAAACTGCATATGCTGTGATGGGGAATGAATTTCAGTCTGTATAAATACAGAAGCATATGACTTAGCAGTAATTGGCTTTGATGCTCAATTATCTTTCTTCAGTTCAGTTAGAAATGAACTTTTCTAAACTCGAGAGCTATTGTGAACTGCCTACATGAGTGGAAAACTTTTTGATATTGCGCCTTTGTTTTCAA